ATTTTTATATCCCATCTTGTTTTTCGCATCCATTCACATTCATTCTTATTTTTCATCTCCCACCCTCTTCTTAGTCCTAAATTATTAATGTAACATCTAGGGTTAAAAACTATCTGCTTGCTTTCCTTCTTACGGCATGAAGTTTAATTTTTTTCAATTCCACTTATACATGAGTTACAGAAGCTTTTGCTTTGTCAACTCCTGGGCTGACGATGGCTTATACGTTTTTGTTTTCCTCTGACACCTGAATTAAATTCACTGGAGGACTTTCAGAAATGTTAAATGAAAACAACAACACTAACAACAACAAAACAACAACACAAAAAGGGTTCTGCTAATATCTAAGTGGGAAAAAAAGTCACATGCTGCATGTTTCTAAATGAGACAAGTGTATACTATAGCAAAGTTCCCATCGCACTTACCTGCTATACACTTTAGTTACTAAATTGTTAATCTGCTTGTCAATTTTGTATTTGCGATAATCTTCCAAGCCGTCTTTAACTGCGATAATTGCAAGGACGACCACCAGGGGCAGCATGGTAATTTCCTTTTGGAAGGCTTCTACCAAAGGCACCCAGTTCAGGACAACTAGGAAGAGGAAATATAAATTGGCGGCTCTGCAACCCAAACACAAAAGGAGATGTTGACAAGTTACTTCAAGGACTGCACAGAGAAGCAAAATACCTTATTGTGTTTTCCTCTAAGCGTTGATTTTGTATGTTACAGACGGAGAACTAGCAAAATATAACAAATCTGAATGAACTATTTATTTCCCTCCTGGACATCTGGCTCTTGTCCTGCTTTAATAAATATGAGATACTATTTATTAAATATATAAGAGTAAATATCTCAGTGGGACAGTCGACCTGACAAAAGGCATGATAGGAAATCATTGCCTTTTTAAAGGTTCAGAAAAATTTAGAAAAAATCCAGAGCTAATGTGTTATAAAAATAAACAAACAAAAAACCCCCAAATCAACTCTCTAGCCTTTTGTATGTGCCAACATTAGATTCAAATAAGGCTCAAAATAAGGAGAAAAGCCTGAGTTTTTTCATTCTTGAGACTAACCCTTCTAATCCTTCTTTTATGCTATTTAGAACCACTTTCTTCAGGAACTTCTTCCATTCCTCTATTTTATACGTCCAGCTACTTCTCCACTGGTTCCTTATTTTTGGCCATAAGTTCAAGACACCCTTTCCCTTAAAAGAAAAACAAAATCTCAATCCTGCAATCCTGCCCTTGAATTTTTATTACATATTTTCCCATTTACCAGGAAACTTCTCAAAAGAATAATCTACACATACTTCTTCCTCACCCCCAATTCCTTTGCCTTTCTTTATTTCTATGGCTTCAGTTATTTCCATGTGGACCACATCCAAGCCTACAGCTCTAGCTCTGAACTCTGTTCAAGTGTCAGATTCCTATTCCACCGAGTGCACTAGATTGCAGACTCCATAAAAGATGGAAACACCCACAGCACTAGAGTCATTAATGCAACCAATTCACATCTGTACTTTAAGCATAGCCACTGTTTAATAAATGCGTATGGAACACATATAGAACGAATAATGAGGATGAATATATGCAGAATGAATAACGAGTGTTGAGAATCTTTATACTCACATTAGCATCTCAAACACCACATTTACAAAAACAAAACGATCCTCCAGCCAAGGTTCTTTTTACTCCCGTCTCCCATTTTTCTGCTAATCCTTCCGATCGTCAAGCTCAACATGTTCACATCATCATCTTACTCCTTTCACTTAATTTCCCACATCGAACCCATAGTACCCGTAATAGGCTACCCTTCTCTTCATTCCCACGCGGTCCTCCGATCAGGTCTCCATTACGACTCGCCAGGTTATACACAGCACCTTTCTAAATATTCTCTCTGCCTTCGGTTTGCCTCTAAGCCCTTCCATCTGCTTATCCACCACACTCCACAGTGAAATAGAGACCCAAGCATGCTATTCCTCTACTCAGAATTGTGCCTGCAGACTTGAGTCTCAACTCTTTGTCCTGACAGCAAGACCCCTCTGCTGGGTTGTACCTGTCTGTCCGACTTGACTTCCTGTTGCTCGCTGGCACAGATGCTACGTGTAAATGAGAGAGGACTGCTTCTTAGGCTTCAAGCTTGTCTTCTATGCTTCTGCTCATACTCCTTCCTCCATCTGAAATATGCTTTTGGCCACACCCCTGCCTTGAAAATCCCACCCACCCTCCATATTTAACTCAAATGCCACTTTGTGTTCTATTGCTGTTATTTATCTTTTTGAGACTTCCATTCTACTTGATAGCACTTTATAACGCTCATCACATCCCTGTGTCTTTTTGTTGTTTGTATACGTATCTTGTTTCCCCAGCTCAACCGAAAAGTCCACAAGGAAAAGAGCAACAATTCCACCTGAATTTCCTTGAGTGTCTAAACTCATAGCAGAGTGTCAATAAATGCATATTAAGCTGAATTATGTCACCGTTTTACCTAATAGCATCTTACATCCGCATGGCTTTGGAACTCTGTTTCCCTATATTATCAAGTAAGGAAAATCTGAAAATAAAAGGCAGCATAATTTCATGGAAAGAACACTAGAGCAAGGGTGAGAAGCCCCAAGGCTGGAGCCCCTGGTCTGCTACTCGTCACTGGCATGACATTGACTAAACTGCAGTTTGTTTCCTAATTTATGAGAATAGCAACATCTTTTCTGGTAAGCAGGAGGCATCTTACCAATTGGAAAGTGCTGTGTGAGTGTAAACAACCATCATCACTCCACAACGGACTCCAAAATTGTCAAGGATGATGTCACAAGTCTTAGCTTAAGTAATATACGGCGTTATGAAAATGAAAAATTTTACATATCAACTGGAGTGACAAAGAGAATTCTAAGGGTGTTTTTTCCCCCTAAAACAAAAGTACCTGTGAAATTGTTCGAATAAATTTCTTGGCACGAAATTCAAAAGCGTGTACTTTGTTGTTCGTATTCGGTTATTCACATACGTTCCCGAGAACTTTTCATACTCGTCCTTGAAGGGCCAGAGGTGGGGAACAACGATGCGGTGCTTTCCTGGCAGTCTGGGGGTGTGAGCGGGCTTGCCCCCGCAGGCAAGCAGCGAGGAGTAGTTGCAGCGCCTGTCGTCCTCATCCCGGGTGGTACCACCGACGAGCCGCCGCCAGTGGTATCTGGCCCATCGGAGAGGCTCGGTCATGTCCAAAATGCAGTGAGATCCAGACTGTGCAGGCGACCTGGCAAAAACAAACAAACCACACACTTCCCATAAGCTTCTGCAAAGTCTTAAGGATAGTGAAATTTTAACTTTTTTCTATACCAAATAAACATACGACCCAATGGTTCAACCTATAAGTGAGAAATTAAACTAGTCTTTGGAACTCCATTGTAACCACATCTTTATTAAAGAAAGCATACACCTTCCGCCTCATGAACTAGTCATCTGATCATGTGAGCCAGCGGTCCCCAACCTTTTTGGCACCAGGGACCAGTTTTATGGAAGACGGTTTTTCCACAGATGGGGTTTGGGGAGTTGGGGGGTTTGCGGGGAATGGAAGGAACTGTTTTGGGATGGTTCAAGCACATTATGTTTATCGTGCAGTCTAACCTCTCTGCTAATGATAATCTGTATCTGCAGCCGCTCTCCAGTGCTAGCATCACCGCCTCAGCTCCACCTCAGATCATCAGGCGTTAGATTCTCATAGGGAGCACGCAACCTAGATCCCTCGCATGTGCAGTTTACAGTAGGGTTCACGCTCCGATGAGAATCTAATGCCGCTGCTGATCTGACAGGAGGTGGAGCGTATGCGGTGACGTGAGCAATGGGGAGCGGCTGTAAATACAGATGAAGCTTTCTCTTGCTCACTCACCTGCAGCTCACTTCCTCCTGTGCGGCCCAGTTCCCGAAAGACCATGGACTGGTACCTGTCCACAGCCCAGGGGTTGGGGACTACAGATATAAGGAACAAAAGACAGCGCCTAACAGGCCATTCCATAACTTGAAGCAACCAATTTGGGCTAAATGTGTGCAAGCCTCTTAACGTCTCTGATCATAGCTTTTTCCATCTTTGCAATCATAATAATGCCATGCGTGTCAGGAAATTGTTGTGAGGATTCAATGAATAACACGTGACTCACCCAGCATAAAGCCTGATAGAGAGTAAGCCATCCATTCTGTGTAGATTATAAATACGGCCACAAATTCTTCCTATCTCTGCACGCACAGCCCCTTGCCCATTAAGAGGTGGTGTCTTTCTCTGCTGGTTGAACCTGGGCTTGGCCACGTGCTTTGCTTTGGGTAACGAAACGCTCACAAAATGACACAAGCAGAGGCTTGAAAAGTGCTTTCTCACTGGGGCCTGTTCTCTCTCATTGCTCTCGGGAGCCCTGTAGCCACCACCATGCGCCCCAGCTGGTCCACTTACCGCCGTAGTCTCTGTCAGTACGTGGATGAGACCACTCACTGCCAGCTGACCGCGAACACGTGAGTGTGCCCAGATGACACAAACTAGAACAGAGATAAGCTGTCCTAGCTGAGCTCAGCCCAAATTGCCGACCCACCAAATTATGAGTCAATAAATGTTACATTACCAAGTTTTGTTGCAAAACAAAATTTAACTGATACATAATCCCTTATTTTCCTTATTTCCAAATTTTCCAAGAAATTCAGCCCTACCTGGAATGTGAGCTTGTTAATTAAAAAAAAAAAGAGAAGAAAGAAAAGGGAACATTTATTAAGAGTATACCATATTCCAAGCACTTTACAAAGCCCTTTATGTGTATTATCTTATTTAATATTAATTCTATGATGCAGGTATTATTTCTATTTTACAAAAGAGGAAACAAGCTTAGAGAGGTAAAGTAACCTGCTGAAATTCATATGGCTAGTAAGTAGCTAAGGCTGATTCAAACTAAATCTTTCTGACTCAACAGTTTCTGCTTTTAGCTGTTAATGTGCCTCATTTATCTTTGTATCCAGAAAGCCTGGCACTTAGTAGATGCCCAATAAAAGTTCATCTAGGAGGTAACATGCATGTCAGCAAGTGTGTGGAGGGCAAGGTCTGGAGCCCTTGGTTACTATACTTGCTTTATCAAACCCACTGCATTTACTTATCATCTTGGGTTGCAGTTCACCTCTGGAGATCTCGTTTAGCAAATCTTTCGGTGTGTCCCAATTGTCTGAAATGTTAACAAAACTCCCCAGATGAATCTGAGTCAGGTGTCTGTAGACTTCACCTGGAGAAAAATTGGGTTATCTGCTAGACACTATGCTAGGCTACGAATACAGAGATGGTTAAGCCCTAGATCCCATTCTTCAGAAGCTCAAGATCTAGGTGAGGCAATAGGCATGTAAATACATAAATGCAACTATACACTGCCCTTTCAAATTCTTAGGCTGTAAGAAGGGCCACATCACCACACAAGGGTCAACTAGTTACCAATCAAGGAATTTCTTACTGCACCACAGGTTCATACATCTATTTTTTATTTCTTATTGCTTTTGGGGGTCTACAGCTGACCTGCCTTGGGCCTACCTCGCTTCATAACACAAACTGCCTGGTTGTTTATACGTGTTCATACATTCGTAAGAGCATGAAGTATGCATTTGTAAGGCAATGTGTGTGGAAGAATTCACACCAAGCTATGAATATTAGTGACCTCAAGGTGAGAATAAGAAGGGAATAGAGAATACTGGTAACTTTCTTTTGAGCATGTATTGATTTACAATCTTTAAAAATTAAGTTAAAGTTTCAGAAGGAAGAAGTTATCATTAATTTCATATATTACTATGAAACAGTCTAATGCTGCCCGAAAGCAGGCCTGCACGATGCTGGATATTAATTTTCCCACCCAATATTCCATTGACTCATTTACAGAAGATGATAAAACCCATAATTAAAGTTCTAAAATCTATAAACTACCAATTCTAGGTATGAAACCAATTAAGATCAGAATTAAAGAAATATAAACCAAGTATTGCTTAGTAAATAAGTACTAACACTTCCGTAATGATTACTATCAACAAAATACTTTTCATGTTATTTAATTTTCACAACTTGATGTGGAATTTCATTTCCATTTTTCAGAGGAAGAAACAAAGTTCAAAGAAGGTTTTAAAATTTTCTCAAGGCATATGTATGATCATTGGCTCCAAAGTCATGTCTTTCCAACTATACAATGTTATTTATAAATAAAATTTTAAATAATCAAATATAAGACTAGATTATTTCTAATTGTAGTTTTTTAGAAGACATTAAAAACTAAAATCCTTCACTAACAGACTGTACCTAAAATATACCATACTAAGTTCCTTATATTATACGCGAATACACTAAAAGCAGACTTAGTTCTCACAAACCCTGTTTTCCTTAATGAATGCATAATGAAAAGTTTGCGGCAGGGAACATTACCAAAGGTAAACACAGGATAATGAATCCTCTTGGGCCCAGTTAGCATTTTTAAATTGCTGAGCTCATCACCAGCCAACAAACAACTTGAGAAATACATATGAGTTCACTTGAGTGTAAAAGAGAAAAACATTCTTATGTACAGTCATTTCGAGACGCCCTATGTTTGTTTCTTTCAAACTCAGCATGCATCAGAATCTCCTAAACCTCAGCCCCCTCAGTTTCTGATCCAGCAAGTCTGGGATGGAGCTCGAGAATCTGCATGTCCAACAAGTTTGCAGTCAGTGCTGATGCTGCTGGTCCCGGGACCACACTTTGAGAACCATTACTTTATGCTAAGTAACATTACGGCAAAATGTAAAGTTTAAATTAAGACTATGCAATTTATTAGATATCACTCATGTGATTGGGGAGCCCATCTCCTTTGAGTGTACAGACCCAGGCTCTGTAGCAATAGCCTGACAGCTGATATAAGCAGATCCTCCTGTCTAAGGCTAGAATTAACTAAATGAAGGTCTAGTTTACACAAAAGATTGTTGATGTAGTCTTAAGTATTCATTTTTTCTGCAGATTTAATACAGTTACAATCAGTTTCAATCAACATTTCCAAAACTTCCCCAAGGAAGAACAATGGGTCTTGGCCTTGATAGATTTATAACCTTTGTCTCAACCAAGATAAGAAAACACTGGAAAAAAAAAAATCAATGTTCTTATACGCTCCAAATCTTGAAAGACAGAGAGGTTATCTATCGCAGTCAATAAAAAGTACAGAGAAATTTCATAGCTATAGGTTTCTGAGAATAAGGTAGAAACTGTTCCACAGTAGACCTCTGATACGAAAGTCTCCTTGACCTCCACGTCAGACGTAGCCCTGCTTGAAGCACAGCAAGCCCCGCTAAAACCTGGGGAAGCTCCAATCTGTGTCACCTGTGACCCCCTTGTTCAACACTGTAAGAGGCATATTACCTCAGGGAGACTGATGACTTTTCTTACAGGTAACGACAATAGCAGTAAGACCATTGGATAGCTTTGCTGGTTTCTTTGCACCACCAGGTGCAAAAGTGACATATTGGTATTGCTCCCTTAGTGACTATTATCCTGCTATCTACTACGAAAGGTTTCTTCGTCATCTCACATAATCCTTGGGAAAGAAGATAAGCATCAACAGTATATGTGGCTGTATCTAATATGTTTTTGTGATGACAAGGGTCAGTTTATTTAGTGGGAAAATTGCAGATCTTGAATAATAAAGTTACATAATCCTCAGTGTTCTCCACTGAGTGGGATGAGGCAGATTTGCCAAATAAATCACCTTGGAGGTGAGTGCCATTTAATTAATCAAACCTCTTGAACTAAAGCCCTCGTAGGAGCACAGAGTCTATATTTTAGATATACGCAAGAAGTCAGACAAGGGCAATATGTCAACCAAAACACTGAATTAAAGTAATTACTTTTGATAACTGGTGATTATTCTCATGGGAGGAAGTGCTATAGAAGTTCATAAAAAGCTATGTCATACTATCTTTCACTTTTATCACTCACAAAGAAATGTATGCGAGAGTTTTGCCATTTTTAAGGATCCTACATGGAAAAAGGTCAACTCTACTCAAGCATTTAGGCCTTACACATCTTTAGAAAAGAGTGCTCAAACCAAGCTTATTCATTCCCAATTCATTACACAAACATGACCTAGAAATCTCCCATGTGGTTGATGCGGGGGAGATAGAAACAGAAAATACTGTTCCGCATCACAGATGCAGCCTCTAACTCAGACTGAGGTAAAGAACCCTCC